CGTTTCCCAAAAGGCACGTTTTAACGCTTGAGTATGTCAATTTATGCAGTCTAGAAAGTAACCCGCGAACACGTTTCACCTCAACAGTTTTTAGACTCATAATATGAATCATTAGCATTCGCATCACATTAGACGGGTTCTGCAATCAGGTCATGGGACTAGACGAGTTATGGTAGAATCTCTGTATTAAGGTTGCTGCCGCTGCTAAGCCGCTCAGAGAACATCTCAAAGTTATGCAGTTGAAATATATGCCTAAACCTATACGTTGAAACGTGCGTATTGATTTAGAAGAAAAACTTTTGGAAGCGTTATCTCACGACTGCTGTTCTCGCGCACCAGGTACCCGCCACCCGGCGTCAGCTGCAGCGTCTGACGCCGCCAGGTTGGATGGAATCTGCAACTCCGGCCATTGATGTTCTTCTTTCTAAGATAACGAGCACGCAGGCAAAACAAAGTTTAAGTACCCTGTTTCACATGTTGACTCGGATAAGAATTAGTGTCCTCAGTTGTGCCGGCCTTTTTTCATTTCAAGCCTCATCTCGATCTGCTCCATCAAAAACATAAGAAACCCATACCTTTTCGGGGTAAGGGGCCAGTTGGTAGAGCGCTGGGGGTGCATTATATTGCCCGGTCAGAGGTCAGCGTGGACTTCATTCCGTTTCAGTGCGGAGTGCCTGACGGCTGTCTTGCTGGCGACTCGGGGCAGGGTTTCCAGGGTCTCGGGGCAGGGTTTCCAGATCGATACGGAAGCCCTTGGAGTGATCAGTCATATATCTGTCTCCTGCCTGACGCCCGAGCCCCCGAACCGAGCATTTGGCCCCTGACAGACGCAGGAGCTCCCCCCCCCCCCCACCCCCCATTGACGTGCAAAGATCCCTCACTGAGACTCCAATTCGGCAAAAACGGTCCCCTGGTTGAAACGGGATGAAAAGGTCTTCGTTCTGAACTGGGGTTCCTCACTGTCACTGGGCCTTTTATTGCCTTCTTTTGGTCTCTCGTCGTAATCTCTCACATCCACTTTCGTTGTCAGAGGGTCTGTGGTGGTGGTGAGTTTTGTTTAGGGCGCGCCGGGATCAACCAACACAATAGGCCCTTAAGCATTCGGGGTCTCGTCCCCGACCACTGTTCAGCAAAATGTTACCCTGGCCGACTCAAGACCCATTACTTACAAGGAGCGCTCCGTCTGCACTGTGGGGACGTGACCGACACAGCAGTACGCATTGTTTCAGGGGTCCCCGACCAAATACAAATCGCGGGTCCCGACCTTGTCTCTGCCTAGGGAATGGGGTCCCCGGGTTCCAGCCGAACACGGAGCCAGTTGTTCGAAGTTGGTGCTCTAGCTGATGTAGAGACCCGCCCATTGTTCCAGGCCATTTCACACACCGGTGCAGAGGCCCTGACTGCTATTGTTCGAAGTTGGTGCTCTAGCTGATGTAGAGACCCGCCCATTGTTCCAGGCCATTTCACACCGGTGCAAGAGGCCCTGACTGCTATTGTTCGAAGTTGGTGCTCTAACTGATGTAGAGACCCGCCCATTGTTCCAGGCCATTTCACATCGGTGCAAGAGGCCCTGACTGCTATTGTTCGAAGTTGGTGCTCTAACTGATGTAGAGACCCGCCCATTGTTCCAGGCCATTTCACATCGGTGCAAGAGGCCCTGACTGTTACTGGGGGACCAGCCCTGTGGTTCGGGGTCCGTAATGTGACTTACTGACAGCTCTTCGTGCCCTCCAATTGACACTTAATCGTCGGTGTCGAGGGGCATTGCAGGACCCTCCGTGAGACCGCACGAACAGTATTCCGGACCGATTTGGGGCCCCTTGCCAATACCGGACCCTTGTCAGACGCTGCAATCCACATACCGAAAGAGAGGGCCCTCATTGATTCAGGGACCCGGCCGATGTAAATCGTGGGCACAACCTTATGGTTACGTGGAAAATGAGCCCGTGCCCCAGATGAGGCGCTACAATAATCTGGTGGTGAATCTGCCTCCACCACGGGGACGTTATTTCGCAAAATATGTCTGGGGGACTGAGAGGGGAAAACCTAACCAACATACACCAAACAGGCTTCTCCCCAAATTCACTCAACGTCATGAAGTTGGAGATACCCCCCCCCCCCCCCCCCTCCAACCGAACAGGAAACTACATCACAGCTCTAATACGTTTCGTCGTTGTTTCTTGGCGGAAAATGTTGACGTTGGGCATCATTATTATTTTGCTTGGCGTCGACCTTTGGAGCCAGGTTCCGGTAGTCAACAGAAGATCGATGCTATGCTGATGGGCACCTAGCCCAATATAAAAAACACCGGCAGGTTCTGCATCGCCATCTCCGACACAAACATTCATCCATTATCTTCAGTGAAGGTACTGAGTGTACTCCTCGGCCACCATCTAACCTAGGAACCCCACACCTCCTCTCTCGTTCGGCGCTGTATTGCAATCCTCGTATCCCTGTTCAAAATCCGACACCGCTTCACTCCTGAGGTTTTGAAGCGCCTTCTTCAAATCCACGTCTTCCCCACATCCTCTACTGCCTGTCCATCTGGGGTGAAGACAGGGTGTAAGGCGTGATGCACTTCGCAGCCAGGCTGGTGAGTGGTTGTCCGCCGCAGCGATCACATTCCACCCGTTCTGGACGCGCTCGGCTGGCAGAGCGTCGCGGATTCTGTGCACCACCGGGACTGCCTGAATGTGTACAGTCCCTGCATCTCCCCGTGCACTGCGAGCTCCACCTGTAACGTAACGCTCCGAGTCTTCCCAATGGCAAACTCAGGCTGTTTCTGGCGGTGTCTACCCGCTACACGTGCCATGCCTCCGACGGAGCGCCACCCAGCGCCACTCCGTATCGCGCCGCCGCCGCGTGGAACCGGCTGCCCGCGGCGGCCGTCCGCCCCCCCCTCCACACGCCAGGCTGTCTTCACTGTCTCAGATCGCTGACTCATTGACTGGAACTGTGTATCTATGCGTATGTGTGTCTCCCTGTACGGTGTGTAGGTTTTCTCTGTACGGACTAGGCGCAAATCAAACCCACCACGTGGTGCGCCTTAAATAAAATGACTATAGCTGTTATGTGGCTTCAGGACTGAAACTGATATACGTCTTAGGGCTTTCTGAAACGTGGACAGCCGTGGGGGGTAAATAGTACAAGTTGGTGTGCGGGACTATTAAAGGCTGCCACAGACTCCCCGGCTGATAGCCGCCAGGCGGGGGCGCAAAGTGGCAACTCGGCACTCGGATTAGGCATGCTGTCGGGCAATTGCCGCTTTTTGGTTTGGTCAGCTGGTGCCGATCGACAAGTTCTCGTAGCTGTTCCATCGAGCGCTCGGCGTCCAAGTGGAGATCGGCACGTTTCCAACCATTCCTCCGAAGGTAACCAGCTGGTAACCAGGTCGCGTTTTTTGGGTCCTAATCTCGAGCAGTTTGCTTTCATTTCATGCTTTCGAAACAAAATCACGCAACATGCTGGTTTTGCACATGAAACATCGCTAATTACAACACGCAATGGCATAACAGAACAGTCAACAACACCACGCCAATCGCATGACTAGCATGCACCACGCCGAAGAAAACACAAAACTATCGACTGAATATGAAGTTGCAACTTGCGCTGGCTTTACTAAGATATCTGTGAACATGTGAAACAATTAGACGAACCCGCTCTGCAATAAACGTAATGTTTGATCTCTCATTGTTCATACCCTGTTTTACTTCGGCGTCGGAAGGTTGGGGCGAAGGCGAACTCACCGTTGGGGGGGGGGGGGGGGGCGTGTAACCCACTCAAAATAATATAAATCGACACCTGTGCCGGCAAGTTATCAATCACCATTATCAACATGGGTACGCGCCGCCGCCTCGCACCGCCAGAGAAACCCAGCACAAGGAAAACCCAACATATGTACTCGTATATTACCGTAGCATAAGCGTATTGCCAATAAGACACCAACAAAGACATGCCCAGGCGGACAGCCAGCTGCCGAACGTCGATGCACAAAATCAACGTTTCTATGCCGCCCCGCAAAACACTGCTGATCGTGACCGTCAGTTACATGTAACGAGACTTGCTTTTTCGACATTTTGCCAGTAAAATGCGGGCCATAACACCTCATATCCCTCTGTCCGACTGCGCAAACGTCCATGCAGGTGTCGGGCATTTCACGTAAGCATGAAAGCATAATCTCCTCTCTAATGGATGACCGGAAATCCTGGTATGACGGCCAGCCAGCGCAAAGTGCCGTTTTCGGCGTTGAATGTGTAAAAAAAGTTTTCGGGATCCGTAGTGAAGGGGTGGGGATACAAACCTGTTCCAGTAAACTAGGGGTGCGGGCATATTCATAGCATTTCCAAATTCTATTAGTAACAGCCCTTCAGGCAGGAAACTCGGCACCCAACAAACTGCCGTACGTTTCTCAAAGCTCCGCAAGCACAGGGCAAAAATCCGAATCTCAGTACCTATGCCAGCAAGATGTGCCAATGTGAGCCGTTCCCCGTTCCAGCCGAGCACACCCAGCGCTGTGCCGGGAGCTGCTGGAGCACCAGAGGCACCATAACCGACATGGAGGGCGCCGCACCGCAACCGACTGTACCCCGTTCCGGGGCCGGCAGGCCGCACCGCACGACGCGCGCTACAACGGCTGCCGATGGCTGGGGAGGATGCGGATACACGACAAAGTACACACACACCCCCGGCCCGAGTATACAGCCCGATCACATCCTGTAAACGGATCACAACATGGATCAGCTCACAGCCCTCCGCATGACACACGACACCAGCAGCCTGCATCGCATCGCCTGGTCGGCAAACAGATCCATCTAGCAACGTCTTTACCACCGCCGCAAAGGCAAACTGTTGACAGGGCGAAGCGCGCCACCATGCCGATGCGTACGACGTAACGCAAACCACCGCGACACTTGGAAGCCACGTCCTGTGAGAAGCCCGCCTGACCTGCCTGAATTCGCGGATCACGGGTCTCCCGGCCCGAGCCGCGATCCCCTTCCCCGGCACACCACCGTCAAATGACCGGCCGCCTCGGCAGGCCACCCTTCGGCCGCCTCAGAAGATCAGCTTGATCTGACCGGGCTCGTCGGACTCGTCGGGCGGCGGCGCTCCGGCCACCGGGCCGGAGCGGACGGCCAACGAGCGGCGGCACAGCCCCCAGAAGGAGGTCGGCCGCAGCGACTCGCGACACGCCGTGAACCTCCAGCCCATGTGACTGCTGCACTGGGTGCAGTGGGCAATCTCCCAGGCATAGCTGGACGCAGGAGACGGGGTGCGTCAGCTGGAGCCGGCGGACGGCAGCGGCGATAACATCGACCCCTACAGGGCGCCCGCATGGCCACGGTAGGGCCGAGATCGGCCGAAGCAGACACCGACAGGGGTGTGACGTCCACTTATGCGACTGCCGTGTACAGTGTACATTTTTCATGCACATATCAACAGCAGATGTTCCGGTGCATACATTGTAGCGACAAGGTCGGCACACCATGAGCGAAAACATCACAAATTTCTGACGCCAGCATTCGCCCCAGGTATCCAGCTGCATCCGCCTCTGGCCAGCGGGAGGGGGGGGGGGGGGAGGGGCATCTATGCGAGCATTCTAACCCGGGAATAAGCTCCACTGAACTGGAGGTACCGGTTGGATTAAAATTTTTGGAATCAAATAAATTTTAAAGTGTCACAAATCGGTACGGATGTCTTCTTACGTAATGTAGATACACATCATTTACACACGGCCATTTTTTTCCTTCAAGTACATTAGGGTGCTGAAATGTAGCGACGCCAGTAGGCATGAGGTTATTGGTTGCTGGCAGAAATATGATATTGAGATTTTTCGGACAAACTGATCGTTTGGACGCTGGGTGGACAGCTGGTCTGTCATTGACCTTTGGGTTGGACTCGAATTTATTTCAATGAATTCAACTAAATTACACTTGACTAGACAAGAACTTCCAGAAAACAGCCGCTCAATACTGAATGGAATGGCCCAGAGACTAGCTGTCTCACGAAGTGACCCGGGGAACCAGCTGTACTCTGGCAACTGACCCAGGGAACCAGCTGTACTCTGCCAACTGACCCGGGGAACCAGCTGTACTCTGCCAACTGACCCGGGGAACCAGCTGTACTCTGCCAACTGACCCGGGGAACCAGCTGTACTCTGGCAACTGACCCAGGGAACCAGCTGTACTCTGCCAACTGACCCGGGGAACCAGCTGTACTCTGTGGAGGGCCGGGTGATGCATCGTAGGCCGCTGGCCCTGTGCAATGTTAGAGTCTCGTGGAGGTCCCCGTGCGGGTTGACGAAGATGCTCTGAGGACCCTCGGCCGACATGGCGAACACATCGTCCGAGCTGGCCAGCGGCTGCTCACAGTCGGCGCATGCCATCACTTTGAACTGTGGGCGAACAGGCACAGACCCCGTCACCGACCGTTCGGGGCAAACAATGTGGCGGCCGGCCGCGTACCAGACACCTTGGAAGGACACGCACCCGCCGCTCCCAAGCATACGTTGATCCGGGCCATAGAGAGTGACTGCAATGGGTGGAGCAAGCCGGGAGCGGCTTTCAGTCTTAACCAGGCGCAAGGGTGTGCTCCAGGGACGGCTTCATCGGCCGACGTCGACGGCCGTCGGGGCGGGCTCACCGTGCGCATGATGCTGATCTCGTACCGGAGCCGCCTCACCACCGAGTCCAGCCGCAGCAGCCGGGCCCTGGCACACACACGGCCAGAGATCGGTCTATAGCCGCAGCAACCGGGCCCTGGCACACACGCGGCCAGAGATCGGTCTACAGCCGCAGCAGCCGGGCCCTGGCACACACACGGCCAGAGGTCGGTCTACAGCCGCAGCAACCGGGCCCTGGCACACACGCGGCCAGAGATCGGTCTACGCCGCACGGGCACACGCCGCTCAAAAAAACAAAAAGCAAAACAAAACACACATGCAGCTGTTTGCTCCAGTATTGTACGACATATTAACTGGCGCTTGGTTCCCCGTCCCCAGCCGGCCCGCACGATACGGAGCGTGGCGCTGCCTCACCTGACGTCGTCATCGAGCGGCAGACTCATGGCCACCCAGTAGGAGAGCTCGGCCGGGTCGGCCGGCACCACGCCCGGCGCGCACACAGGCACCGCGTTGCACGCACACACGCGCGCCGCCGCCGGCGCCAGCTCGTACTGTGCATACAGCCAAGAGGGCCAGCCGACCACGGCGGCGTCGAGGTGCGCCAGGCGGCGGCGGGCGGCGCGCTCGGCCCGCCGACGCCTCCACCTGCAGCAAGTGGAGGCCGCCCGGGCCGGCCGTGACGGAGCGAGCCGCCGGCGCCGCCAGCCTGACGCCAGACGGAGGCAGCACGGCAGCAGGCGAACGGGCCGGCCGGCAGCTCGTCCCGCAGGATGCGCACCAGGCCCACCTTGACACTGTCGGCGCGGCAAGAGCGCCCGATCACAAGGGAGAGTGGAAGGGCACAGTCGATGTCAGCCCCACGATAATCACCCAAACGGCATCGCAAGCATACAACCTACAGCATATATCATTGTAAATGACCATCTCGCGAAGCCAGAGCAGCGCACAGTCACCAGTGTGAACAACACCGTCGCGACTACGGATGACACATTATCGATTATGGAAAACGCGCGTCACTTTATGGCCGTGGCGCACCACCGTTGTACGCGGGAAGATGATCAATTTCGTGCTGTTTGCAATGGCCGTGCCCCGCCCGGTGAGCTACTCACCCGTCCACCTGGGACCGCGTGCTCACGACCTCGAATCGCTGGCGTCCTTTGGCCTTGACGGCGAAGCCCGTGTACGCGTCCTCCGAGTCCTCCTTCACCTCGTAGATCTCGGCCGTGACACCGATCGTAGCCTCGGAGGAGCCGGCGGGCCGCACACAGCTGCTGGGGCGCACACAAACAGCGACACAGGCCGGGGTGGGACACCGGCCGCGACCGGCTGTGGACAGCTTTCCTAGAGGCATGATGACGGGCGAGCACGTTCAAACCATACAAAAATATCTCTAAACTGCTGGCAGCTTTGAACACCAAACATTTCCTTCAAATGATCTTACAGTGATATGGCACAGAAACAGCTGATGGCTGTATCTGCAACAACATACCATGGAAAAGGTACAGCTGAGCGTGACAGATACGCCGGCAATGTCCGCCACGCCACGATGCTGGCCAGACACCCAGCATCACCTACTTGTTGTTGATGAAGCCGAATGTCTTATTGGAGGCGATGACACGGCGCACCATAGCCACAGAGGCTGGGTGGAAGATGGAAAGTGGCAGTGTCTGACCAGGCATCAGCATCACTGAAGGATTGTACAGCAGTGGCAGCTCCACACAGCTACCCTCCTCCAGCACGGTGCGGCCATATATTTCCTCACCGTGTCCCAAGTACTGCAGAGTAGATAAGCATATGTTGGTGTGGTAAAATGGTGCAATTAAAATAATACACCACAGAGACAGACATATCTTGGTGTGGTAAAATGGTACAATTAAAATAACACACCACATATTGCAATAAACACAGCTGTCATTGCCATCATGATTCCACACTGGGCTGAAATGTCTTGTACAGACATGATTAGGGTCAATCCACTGTTCATGCTCTCTTATGAAATATGATGCAATGCAACCCACATGATACTAGCAGCTGGGTATAAAGCATGTCAGCTTACTGAATGCTGGGTGGCCAAAACAGGATCAAAGTTGGACTCTTCGCTTTCAGTGTTCATTGGTATGTCCATTGCCTCATCAAAATTGTCTTCTTCAGCCCATGCATATGCAAGAGCAGGTTGTTCATGTTCAGAGCTTTCTGAATTGGAATCTTCTGCCATTTTACTCTGCTTAAACAGGCATCAATTCAGCATCAAAGTAAAGGTGAAACAGCACCATCACATGCCAGATTGAGCAACAATAAGCAGAATTGTAAAAAAGGTAGACAGAAATGGCTCAGCAGCAAGCTTCACTCTTTTCCTGCACTTCTGCCATATAGTTTCCTCAAGTCCTGATTTGTAAACAAATGCATGGACTGTAAGCATGCACAATGCTTAAGGATGTCAAAGAGGCCATACCCTAGAAAAACTCAGATACCTGGCAATAGAGAATGGTCACACCCAAGGGCACCTGGCATCTGCCGGTCTTCTAGAACCTAGCATGTCTGGTGCCCTGTGGTACCTGCCCCAAA